ATTAGTGACGTTATTGGGACGATTAGTCAAACGGTGAAGGTCAAGATATTCTGGTATTTTGAAAATTTAAAAATTCGAAGTAGTCGCACTTCTGAGAAACGGTAAAAACCGCCATTTTGGTGGAAAACCAGAAGAAAATCAGAACAACAATAGTTGCGACGAAGATAACTACGAAAAAATCGAAGATCAGAATTGAAGAAAAAGCACAGTTAGCAGAGACCGCTCCGAGTTGCAACGATTGTGTCGCAAGCAGGCATTTCGGGTTCGGGTTCGGGTTTTCGGGTATCGGGTCGGGTTTTCGGGTTTTGAGACAAATTTCGGGTTTCGGGTCGGGTTTCGGGTTCAACAAATTTTCGGGTTCGGGTTCGGGTATTCAATTATGTCGGATTTCTAAAACCCGACTTTTGTTTGCTGTTTTCGGTTTCGACAAAAACTTTCCCAATTTTTCTTTTGTTTAAGGTTTTTTACTTTTTTAATTTTTATTTCTATTTCATTTCTGAACGCGATTGCATTGTACGATGAAGGAAGAGTGGCGGATATTTGAAACCAAAAATCCAAAGTTGAAAGAAATTCTGAAAGACCAAAAATTTCTGAACTCGAATACTGAAAAGTTTATTTTCCATTCCCAATTCGTATATCTTGACAATGTGTCAGTAACAAAAGTTAGCAGTTCCCCTCGCTTCAAGAAACTGTTTCAAAAGTCTGGCCTAGCTGTACCAACTTATGATGATCTCAATCGGACACTTAATGCCAAATACTTCGAGCGCATAGATCTCATTAAGAAATTACTAGAGGGGAAAGAGAAGTTAGTCTTGGCTCTAGACAAATGGACGAACAATCATGACGAAAAATTTATTGGTGTCCATGTGTATCAAAAAGGCAATACTATTTAATCTACCTGAAAATCGGGCATGTCGGGTATCGGGTCGGGTAATCGGTTTTTGAGATCTTTTTGGGTTTCGGGCCGGGTTTCGGGTTTGAAATGAATGTCGGGTTCGGGTTCGGGTTTGAAGAAACCGTCGGGTTCGGGTTCGGGTTTTAGCTTATCGGGTAATCGGGTTTCGGGTTTGAAAAATGTCGGGTCCCGAAATGCCTGTTCGCAAGGTCGTGCACAACAACGGTGAAGGGTGAAAAAACAGTCTTCCGGAAAGAAGATAAGGTTTTTATTTCCCCGTATTCAGGTATCCGGAGGGGTCTCGGGATTTGAACTGAAACTGTTTTATATAAACTTTTAGCTTCCCGGTTATGTCTTGAATTGAATTTATTTAACATCTGACGATTCATTTTTTGACGATGAGAAGCTAGGAGTTGGGGGAAAGGGTTGATCCATCTCCGACGGAGGTGATGATTTTTATCTACTGAACAAAAACAACAGTAATAGTAAATAGTATTAGCCCTGTTTTTAGGAGTGACCTCGTGGTCTGGGGAAACTGAGACCCAACCATGAGCTCACTAATTCTGCATGTAAGTAAGTTAATTTGAGCGTTCTGGTCGAAGCCGGAGAACAGAAACGATTTTGTCGACCCAATATTGGAAAGAACACCAAAAGAACTGGCTTTGGTAGAGACGGTGAAAAGCATGTAGAGCTCTGTTTAGACATTGTCAAGTCGTCTTAGGACCTAGCTTTATTGTCGTTCGATATGTACTTCCGCGCGAATGCTACAGATAATACTCTCACCTGTTTTTAAAATATAAGGAGGAATGTTTTATACGCTCCGTTGCTATGTAGTGTTTGGGCGAATGTTACAACATCATCCGAGCTACCCTCTTTGAAAGTATCACTATTTGACTTCAATTATTAACCAAAGTAATTCGAGTCTGAAAATGCCAGACTTTCTTTTCTGCGCTAATTTAGCATCGCAGTCAAATTTTTCTCAAATAAGCGGCGAAAAAAATTGTTCATGTAACTTGAAACGTCTGCAGCGATAAAATTCAAATAGTCAGTAAGAAAATTTTATTGAAATCGGTTGTTTCTTACTTTTTCAGGCGGATTGAGGAACATAGAGCGGATGAGGAAAACTGGGTTTTGAAAACCCGAATAATATTGATACGTCACCGAAATCAAAAAATCATAATTTCATAGATGCTCTGGTGACTAGATTTATTTGGTGGTGACTAGTTCTTGGTCTGGTAAAAATTTTGCTAAAAATTTTAGTTTATTGTTGTCCTAAATGGACATCAAAAAACGGCATTTAATGAGTGATTATGCGCTTAATTTTGACAATAAGTGTATGAGAAAGTACAATCTAAGCATCCAAAAAAGCTGAAATGAATGCCTCATACGCGAAAAATTTCGATACCTTTTTTGTAAGTGAGATCGAGGTGTAGGATTTTGGAGCCAAAAAACTAAAGCGGCGCCTAACTTATTAAACGATAGACTCATAACCTTTGATCATAGCCTTTGGTCAATCTTTCGGAGATTCTTTTTTTGGTTGGTTGAGTTCCCAACTATCTGGATCTCTTCACTTTTATTACACTCGCGAAAGCATATGTACTGTAATAGGCAAGTAGACTTTTTTCCCGTAAACATTTTTCTTACACATTGATGATGCTTTGTAATCGAACCTTAGAGGCTTCTTCGCCCATTCCAACTTAGTCTGGGAGTAATGCACTTGCCTCTGCTCCAAATGGTCAGAGGTTCGAATACCGACCGGATCTTGTTTTTTTTTAGTGTATGAAATAGAATGTTCCCTGGGGAAAATGGAATAGTCTGACTGTTGTTTGTCGACTTATGATTATTCTTTTTAGTTGCTGCACCACGGATTTTGCGCTGTGAGCAGGTTTCATAACGTGCATTTTTACGCTTAGAAATATTATTCGGCCGAAACTATTTTGGCGGATGTTTTGTCGTTAAGTGAAATGTTTCATGTTTCTGCATCGGCCTAACGGCAAAAAAGGTTTCTTTAATTTTGAATAAATCAGATCAGTTGAAGCTCACAGTTTTTTAAACAATTTTTTTTGCAAATTTTTCCTTATGACAGTTTTATTTCCGTTAAAATTTGAATTGTCGGATTTTCTAATGTTTGCTTAAGTTTCTTTGGGCTTAGTGTTCACATCACGAAATTTGCTTGTGCTGTAAGCAACCCTTATTGTAGTTGCATGTGCAAGTGTGGTCTCTTTGTAGCTTCAGGAGGGACTTAAAACTTATAAGATCATGTTTTTTTACTCAACTTGTGGCTACTGAAAGCTGAGACTCACGAAATATTAAAATTTGGTCGATCTCGTAATCATATTATACTTTATGAAATTCCAATGTTTTATTCACTTGGCGAATTGACGAAGGACTAGCGTAGTAATTTCGGTTGCCATGATAATAGCGGACATTCTGATTTAGTTTACCCTAACAACTAACAACCAAGATTTTGAAATGAGTGAAGCGTGGTCGCACTCGTTAGCGAGGGCTGAAATTTATCCAATGATTTGCAATTAAGTGCAATTTGTTATTTCTCTCAATAATTAAGTACAGTTTAGTTTTGTCCTAGCATTTAAATGTGCAATCTTATCTTTGTGTTCCTAATTAATTTTTTGAAAGCCCCTGCTTATATACATATTTTTACTTGCAGACTGTATGGAATCGGGAATCGAAATTTTGGATGACTCAGCTGATAGCTGTTCTGGTACCAAGTCTAAGCAATTGACACCAGAAGATTCGAGTGCTGTAAAGACTGAAGAAGGAAGTGCTGATGAAGCCAATTCTAAATCCGCTTCAGCCGAACCTAAGAACTGGGAATCTGATCTTCTTCAATCATCAGACTTGAAGCCTTTGGACGGGTTTTCATTTCCTTTTGTCAAAACGGAATATCCAATTGACCCACTACCGCAAAGTAGATCACTTTTGTTCAAAGGATTGCGCTACTATGCAATTGGTGTTACAGCGAATATCAAGAAGCTGCTTTGTGACTGTTCTGCGGTTGAAGAATCAAACTTATCCGAGCTGGTGACTCATGTCATTGCCGGTAAACCAATTGAAAATCTCAAATTTGAACAAGTCTCAAGTTTGCTTTGATGCACTTTTCGCGTTTCAGGCAAGAACATCAATGTTTACAACCCAGAAGCAACGCAGGCGGCAGATTTGTATGACAAAACGGTAGTTCATGAAGATTGGGTTGAAACGTGTCACAAATATGATGCTTTGTTCCCTTTGGATCCCTACAGATTACATAGAAAACGATTGTTTGCCGACATGAAAATCTGTCTCTCAAAACTTTCAATGAAAGACAGACGTACATTACACTTCCTTATCGAACATTACGGAGGAAAGTGCACGTTGAAGTTGGATAAGTCCGTTACTCATTTAATCACCGGGACAAGTGATGGTCGCAAATATGAGAAGGCAATTAAAATGCCGAACATGGAAGTAGTCGCACCAGATTGGGTAACCGATTCGATTAAGGCGCACCAAGCACTTTCGCCTAAAAATTTTAGGTAAATCAACTTCTCGGCGGAAATCATTTTCTTAATCAACTCCAAAAACCATTTTCCATTTCAAAGATAATAATCAGCTACTGTTTTTCAGTCCCAGTAGACTTGTGGACAGCGTTGAGTCCAACTATCTACATGCCATAGACTCAGTGCTTACCGGTGCATTTTTGGGGAAAACACCTACTCTAGACTTGCACTCCGTAGATATTGGGTCACACATAGCTGGACTAGTGACTAAAACATCCCTCGGTGGAGCTCCCACTGGCCGTAAGAAACAGCTGAAAGATGCATCTGGCAGATTTAAGTCAGCCGGTCTTGGAGTAAAGTCTCCTGGTCTTCTGACCAAGAAGAAGTTGTCAAAGAATACAAATAAAGCTGGAGGATTTTTCGTGCCAGGTGCGTTCAATTGGGTTTTTGTAAAATTAATGGGGTAATTTCACTTGCAATGAGAAAGCGATATTAAATCAGAGTGTAGATTTTTCCTAGGTAAACAACAGCTCTAACAGAGTCAATGAAGCACAAGTGGTGCGAAGTTCATCCATGAATCTGCATACAATTAATTGCTTTTAGAAACAAAATAAAAATATAAAATGTTTCTGAATGGTTTCCTTTTTACCCTTGCGATCGGCAGAATTATTGCGATCCCATGAATAACTTTGTTCACAGAATGGTCTACATTAGAAATGGTACATTGAGTTTCAGTTCATTATGAATTCAAAATTTTTTGCGTCTCCGCCGCAGTTGGCCGAAGTTGATATGGCAAAGGTCCCGGGTTCGAATCTGACAAGACCTGTTTTTTTTTTTCAAACGGGAAATATTTTGTTTCAAGAAAAATTGTCAGCTGTTTATTTGTCTGTTTATGTTTTGTCGGTTTCGTTGCCACATCTTAGAAATGTTTTGTTTGGTGTCAAATTTTTTGTGTGCGCTGTGTTCTTTTCCTTTTTTGGGCTGGATAGGTTCCAGCCTATGTTATATCGGCGTAATGGCCTCATCTTGTGTCTCAGTTTTTGTGCATGTTTTGAGGGCGAGGGGGAGTTAATAACTTTTTATTAGTCTTAATTTTTTGTTTTCTTTTGTTGTTTTTTTTCGGCTTAATAGATAACGGCTTATATTGTATCGGCTTAGTGGCCTCATTTTGTTTCATTTGACGTGCAAATAAAGTTCTATATATGTAATATAAATAAAGTTCTATTGAGATTGAGGGAGACTTCTTGCCTTTTTATAAGTCTTAAGTCTTGATTTTTTTTTCGGCCTTAAGGGTTTCTGTTAAGTTTTTTTTTGGCTTTGTTACCGCTTGATAACAAGCGGTACGAATTTTTGCAACAATTTATTGTTCAAAAAGTTTTTCATGACAACAGGTTTGTTTTGGGTTATACGTGAATTTACCCAAATTTTATTGGCTCAACTGCCGCTCGGTATTCTTTTTTGGATTTTGTTCAGGGCCGTCGATTGTGTTTCTGGACAAAACTTCGATAAATAGAACATCAATCCAGACAAAATCGTGAAGTTTTAGCTGTGGTTGTTTCGATATTTTTTTTCCATTTTTTTGCTCTTAGTGGCTATCATGTTTTTTTTTGTCTTCTAGCTTGCCATGTTGTTTTTATTTGGTGTCGCAAGCAGTTCGAAGCATCGCTCTGCATCTGTGTTAATTACTAGAATTGAAATTCGTTTAGATGGAGAAACTTAAATGAAAAAGTCCATTAGAAGCAATTTTAATACGATTTTTAAGCTTTATTTTTCGCAGACGAAAAACAAAGCTTAAAAATCGATAATCGTTTGAAGTGTAAAAGAACGAAGTGATTTTCCTTGATATATTTCTTTTTGATTTTTTGTTGTTTGTTTTTGTTTCAGAAAAAAAGCTTTAAAATTTGTTTACGCTCAATTTTGATTTTTCGCGGTTTTGATTTATGATTTCTTTTAAATCTTTGTTAAATATGCCAATTACGCTATCGACTTTCAGTTTTCAGAATTTTCTTGGGAATAAAAAAATTACCATTTTCATCCAGTTTTCTCTAAATGGGATTTATTTACGAAAACTGAACAGTATTTGAAGTTCAAAGAGCTTCAACGTGATTAATTTTTTTCTTCGAAAGATGAAAACTGTACAAACGTTTTCAATCAACGTTTTTCGTTTTCCATGTTCTTTTAAATCTACCCAACTCTCTGCTGGCTATGTTTTGAAGGTGGAAGTTTGCTAAATCTCCAAAAGAATACACAGTCTCTCCCTCCTGGGGGCCCTGCCTGTGTTCCATTGTCTCCTCCGAGTGCAGTTGTGATTCCTAGTGGGTCCCGTTTCTACGGACACGATCCAGAGCAACACATACCAGCCGAATGTTGTCTCATCGCATGTCGGTTCCTCATAGCTGAGGTAGATCACCTCGCAACACCACAGGCTAGTTTACTCTTAATAAAAGAAAAACGGAAATATAGGTGAATGATATTTTTGTGTGAATGAGTTCATTAGCAAATTGAATTATGAATAAATAGTAGGTGTTCAGTTTGAATTACCAATAGTTCACAAGGCTCATACGCTGAATTTAAAAAAAACGAAGACACTTTGCACCCTCGGTGTTCGGAGCTAAATACGTGATTTTTTTTTCGAGTGCATTTATTGATCAAGAAATTAGAAAGACTTCGTTGAGTACACAAACTTGAAGTTAGTGTTCAATTAAGAAGTGTATACTGTTTCGTGTAGGAGGTGGAGATGTGGAAGAAAGTGATTGACAACTATTGTGGAATTGTGAGTACAGGATTCAACTCCAAACTAACCCACATTCTCTGCACTAGCAATGCATGCAAGCCATTCAAGAAGGGAATCAAAGAGTCCAAACGAGTCGTAACTCCTTTTTGGCTCAATGAAGTGGTGAAGAGAAAAGAAAATTTTGCTCCTGATGAAGCCATATACTTTCCCGTCTCATTTACCCCTTCGCGAAGTGTTCTGCAAGGGAAGTGGATCTCAATTTGCGGATTCACGATTGAAGAACGAGAGAAAATTAAACTCATGTTATATACACTTGGTGTGAAATATTCACCAGGGTTCAATCAAAATTGTTTCGCTCTAATTTGCAAAGATTTGAACAATGAGAAAGTGAAGAAAGCGCAAGAATGGAGCATACCAGTCTATAACGTCGAGTGGTTGTCAGATCTTTTGATCAGAGGAAAGCATGCTATAGAGAACTCATCTGCAGCTATGTATCAGAACTATGAGAAGGATGACCCGTTCAAAATTGACGTTCTATCGTACAGGGAACTGCATAAGTTTATGGGTGCGTGGCTTAAGCCAATAAAGGTTAGTCAATAATCGAATTCTGAATAGCTCGTATGTTGGTCCTTTCCTTCATATCAAAATAGTCGTTGAAAAATGTCCCTTCTTATATATCAACAAGATATTCTCGCAATTTCGATTTGTGCTATTAAATAAAGTAGATCTAGGTTTTTTATTTTAAAAACTTTGTCATTTGTACCTTCTAGTAAAAAAAAAAGCTGACTTCACGTAAAACTGAGTTGAATCTATTAATTTCACGTAAAGCTATTAGGTTCTCCTCGTAAAACTATTAAGTAAAACTGAGTTTGACAAATTAATGATGGTAAATATAGCGTATTCTCATGCATTTACCATCCCCCAATCAATTAAAATGTCTAGCAGAAAAAGATAATTGATCAAATCGTATGTAGTTAGCCAATGTTGGCTATGGGGGTGAGGTCACTTTTATATGTATTGAAATTGGTAAATCAAAATAGGGATCTAGTTAACATCCCCCCTCCTCCCAAAATAGACCAAGTTAAGATCCTCCGCCCCAGCGCTAAATTTAAAAAATTAAAGTTTTTAAGCGCTGCATGTAAAATGCTCGATTCTGATTGCCTGAACATTCCCAAGTTAGAAGCAAGTTAACATCCTCCCCCCTAAACGTGTTTAGGGGGGAGGATGTTAACTTGGTCCCAAAATAGTTTTTTTTTCGCAGGTGAATTCTGGAGAGATCAGGAAAAAAAGTTCATATTGGGAGTACCTGATGTTGAAACAGAAGCAGATATCAGATGATCCGTCTAGTGCCTGCATCAAGAAAAGCAGACAGACTTCAGCAGCTGCTTCGGGAGAGGGAGGCACTCAAAGCAGGGAATATGTACTGTTCCCGCCTTCCAGGCCACTAGACCAGATGCCGAAAGTTGTTTTTACAGGTACGTGAACTGGTTACGTAGCAGTAAGAAGACAACCGAGGATTCATTTTTCTGTAGTTGGTAGAATAATGCTGTTTTAATCAATAAGAATTGCTGAAGAAAAACGAAAATACTCAAGAATAATTATGAATTATACTTGCGTATCTTCGTTTTTCTTTCAACAATTGTTATTGGTTTAAATGGTATTAGTCTACTTACTGAAGAGTATGAATAAGCGGTTGTCTAATTGCAGCCAGCACTCCGCGTGGATTTATTATGTTATTCATAGCTCTTCAAAAATGGCCTTAATGTCATTCCATTCGTTTTGAAAAAGGATCGCATGCTTCGATAGTTGATAATAAATATTCCTTTGTTGCCAATTCATTGAAATAACAAGGGCAAGAGATAGTTGAGCAAAAAACATTGAAAATTCCGACCACAGTAAAGCTGCAAGTTTCTAAAAAAATTTCCTCGAGTTTTAACATTATTTTTTTCAATTTTCTACTGTTTTTATTTTCTACGTAGCATGAGAATTGATATTCAGATTGAAACATACGCTTAAATTGATACTATTTGCTTCTTTAAGCAAAATGGAAATGTTTTTAAATATTTTTTTAACGGGGACCGACCTTTTACCAGAAAAGTTATAACATGGACCTTTTACCAAACTCGACGATGTAATGACGCCATTTAGTCTGGTTAAAGACAATGATTTCACGGTTTCTCAACAAATTTTTGTTTGTTCTGGCCGCTTCCTTTTCAAATCTTCCACTAATTTTAACTTATACTAATTGAGTTATTGTATTGCGGTCTGGTAAAAGGTCGGTCTGGTAAAAGACCTAGCCCCTCTTTTAACTTTTCGTAGGTTATGATTTGGAATCAGTGGAGAAACTGAAGACGAAGCTGTTCTCACTGGGAGGCAGACTAGCCACTAGTATGTCTGAGTGCACTCACATATGTGCCCCTGCAGTACTACGTACTGTCAAGTTCCTCATTGGTGTGTGCACTGTAGACACATTCGTCACACACAGGTAAAGTACAACTGAGGTCATCTGTGATGAATGATTTATCTTCTCAAATGGGGCTTCCTTTAATTCATTGCAGGCTTGGATCTAGGATTTTCTGAGTGGGATGAAGGGGAAGGGCGTTTGGTTATTTTCAAAAAATTTGAAATTTTCAAAAAAAATGGAGAAATCGGCGTTTTGTTATTTTTCAAAAAAATCGGAAATCGAAAAATCCTGTTTTGAGATATTTAGCTAAAAGTTAGTATTCCACAAGATTATAAAAGATTAAAAGGGAGACTTAAAATTGCATGTTCTTACCAGTTTTATATTGCGCTAGAGTTGTTTTTGTCTTTCGATTTTACACTGTTGATTAATTCATTTGTTTTCACAGACATGGTTTTAGAAATTATGATATTGAGAATTTATTTGCATTCCTGGTGTTTTTATTGCCCGATTGATCTGAAAGTTTTTCAAGGATGGTATTTGAAATCAGATCGGCCAGTTGGTAGTTTGCTTTCCAGGTGGATTGAAGACAGCTTCGAGTGTCGCTGGTGGCAGAAAGAGACCCAGTACACTCCTGAGAACGAGCCATTAGAAAGGACACTCGGCTTTAGACTAGTCGGTAAGAACTGTCCTTTTTCTGTCCTCCGTGGTTTATGAGACACCTGAAAACGGGCCTTGTTGGCTTAATGGTGTTCTCCCGAACGATTCTAATTTGTATTTATAAATTTTTATAAATAACTTTGTAACTAGATATCGTTTGGAAACAATTTATTATATTATTATTATTATTATAAAGTGTAAAAGAAGGAAATTGCATTTTTATTTTTAGATTTCTGTGGAATTTAAAATTTGTCCATTGATCCAGCTTTCTTAAAGTGGGTTAATTTGATCACAAAAGTTCCTGTCATAAATTGTTCTATAATTTCAAAGAGTTTTAACCTGCTATATTTATTCTTCAAAGTTCAAAAGCTGGAAAAAGTTGAAACTTTTTAAACCAATTTTGTTTTTGATTGATATTGTTTTCGATTTCTTTGTTCAAGGGTTTTGCAAACGGTACTAGACATTTTTCCGTAAATAACTCTGTTCACAGATTGATATTTTTCGAAGTAAATTCGAAATATTAAGATAACAAATATGCATCTTACTTGTTTTGCCTATATAGTGCTAGTGCTTGCTTTGTATTTGGTCGATTTTTTTCCTTTTCCGTATGATTTTTATTGAAGCTCGTCTTTAATTCTGTCGGCTTAATGTGTTTTTTTTTATTTCAGTCATTTTTTTGATATTGAACCATCTTTCACAAGGTATGTTAGAAATTTTGAAATCGCTGTTCCGACACTTTCTTTTAAAAAAGTTTAAAAATCATGAAAGAATTTTTCATGATTCTTAAAAAGGTAAGTTTTGAAAAAAACGAAAAATCATGAAGGAATAATATAAGATTAATTTAAAAAAAATTTTATTGTTTTTTTAGTAAAATTTAGTTCCAAGTTTTTCCTCAATACTTCAAGTTTTAAGGCAATATATTTTTTGTTTGAAATTTGAAAGATGAAGATTTTCAAAAAACAAGTCAATTTATTTTGTTTCTTTGCGTTCATTGACTCTTTTCCAACTGTCTGTTGGCAATGTTTTTATTTCAAAAAAAATTAGTTTGTTTTCCCTTCTTTGTTTCTGGTACACTTAGTTTTTTCCTATTGTTTTTTTCTTTTGGATTTCAACAAAAAGCAGGTTAATGTATTTTGGGTTTTTAGTTTTTATACCTACCTAATTTTTCTGATAGAAAATGAAACAGACGACAGTTTTTTCTTCAAAATTTTCTTTCGGATAATAATCCTCGGAACTTTGATAGATTTCTTCATGATGTTTGTGAATTTCTGTTGCTAATTGGTTCAAACTAATGACATATCGAGTTTTTGAAACAAAAAAGTCAAAAGTTTATCTTTTCGGCTTTTAAAAAAGGTTTGATTTAGCTTTGACCTTTTTCCCGGTTTTGTCGGCATAATTACCGCTCGGTGATTTTATTTGCTAATCCAATGCGGGTTGTTGTGTTCTGCCCAGATGCCGATATAGGATTTTCTTGAGATGGGGGCGGCTTTTCAATAAATTTTGAAAAATATGACCTTTTTTGGTCGATCAAATTGATTTTTCGCGCACTCCCAGAATACTATAAAGACCTCATTTTGACAGAAATTTTCACCCCGTACGCAAGTTTTTGAAAAAAATTATTCAAAAAGCCGTTTTTTGGCGCTTTTTGGATAATTTTGATCAAAAATTCAGGTTTTTTGGCGCGCATTCACTTTCAAAGTTAATGTATTAGCGCCTTTTAGAAAACTTTTAAGGGTTTGTCGACCGAAAAGAAATATCATGAAATAAAAGGGGACCCCTTGGTTGGTTAGAGAATCGGATCCCTGATCCCTCAGTGAGAGCATCCCCCCTCCTCCTTTTCTAATTCCGCCACTGTTTCCGCGGCAGGTTTTCATGAAAATGAGTTTCATTTGATACAAACATGTGAAAAGTTTTTAAAGAAAATCAAATTCTTTGGTAAGAGGAAGGAAAATTACGCTCTTAAATTACCAAAGTGAAAAGGGCTCAAAAAATGTGATAGACCTTTAGATTTAAAGTGGGTTTTAACTTAGATTTTCCAGCGAAATAAAAATATTACTTATTGATCCAGTTTTATCAAAATGTGCTATTTTAACCAAATTGTGTTAATAATAATTGTCTCCTTGCTTTGAATTAAAGCGCCATATCCGTATGAAAAATCAAGTCGCTTCCTAGCCTTTTCCTCCTTTTATTGAACCTTGAATTGTTTTCAGGATCTCTGGATCGTGCAAAGCAGAAGAAATTTCTCTCTGGCTACAGAGTGTACATAACGCCAGCGGTCGAACCAGACTTCACTACAATGCAAACTGTTGTCGAGGCAGGAGGAGGTCGAATGTTGCGGTTGGAACCAGAATCAACAAACTGTCATCCTAATGTCAAATCGATAATTATATCTTGTGAAAAGGACATCCCACTTTGTTCTAAGTACAAATCGAAAGATGTTTCAGTTTATTCTGCAGAGCTGATATTAGCCGGTGCTCTGGTTCAAGATTTGGATTTCGAGAGGTTTAAGTTGGATCTCAACGCGCGTGCTGCAGCTTCTAAGAGCAGAGATGAACCAAGAGAAGCAGTTGTGACAACGGCATCTGTTCAAGATAATGACGTAATTATGACAGAATTCAATCCCGTTTTGCCTGAAAAAGATCAAGGTCAATCGGAAAACAGAAACAATAGTAATCAGGTTGAGATGCCAGTGGTAAGCAAACCGTCGGATAGTGAAAGCTTGAGACCGGTAGAGAATTCTGAAATAATAGAAAAAGAAAATTCTGAAAAGACAACTAGCGTGTCCATAGAACAAAAAATTGAAACCATTGAAGAAACTATGGAGATTGATCAACCAGCTGCTGACAAGCAACCAGATGAAACTGAAACAAAAACGGAAACAACTGTTTTAAATGAGACGTGTTCTGAAAAAAGCAATAATGCTAAAATGACCGAAACGAGTGAAACTAACGTTGACATAGTCTGTTCGAGTGAAATTGCAAGTGAAAGTGCGCTTAAACAACAAAGGGAGTCTTCAACTACAGAGTCAACCATTATTTCAACGGAAAAAGAAAATTTGGACACTGGGGTAAAATGTGAAGCCCCGAAAGAAGACAATGTAATTCCGGAATCAAACGCTAATTCAAACCCACAAGTTGCCAGCGAAACCAAAGTCAAAATGGATTCAGAAGAAGCAAACCTAGTTTGAAAAAAATTTCGGTTAAATACTTAACTGGCTCTGGTGACCACATCGAAGCCATCTATTAAATGCATATCGAAGTCATGTATTGAACGGTATTTTTTCAAAACATTAAAATTTTTCTTGCTTTTTTATCTATTTTTTCTTATCTTTATAGAAATACGTCTTGGCGTTTGTCATATGTGTTTTTCTAAGTGCAGCCGCGCCTGATTTGAGCATAGAACATCCAAGCATTACTGCTTGAGTTTGCTTGGGGGAGATTGCTCCCTTAGTCTATTCAGGGGAAGATTGTTCACATGGGCCGAATAACTGTCTTAAAGTGTGTTTTTACTTTTGCAATGCAAAATCTGGCACTGAAAATCATCATTTAAATGGGTCGAGAGGTGTGGAAATTTTTTGTTGTGTGGCATAATTTCGAGCGAGTAAAGCGAGCGATTAGGTAATTTAAACAAGGTAAAATTAAGTAATTTTTTTCAGAGGTAAAATTAGGTAATTTAAACTTATTTTAACTTCAGAAAGACGTTTTTGTAGCTTCCTTTAGCGCTTCCTTAGCTATAAATTTTTTTTTACATAAGCAAAGCTTGTGTTATAGCATGAATTCTCTTTTTTCCAGCCTAAGTCGCAAATTTTGTTGCGACGCAAAAATTGTTGCGTGAAAATGTATTCATTTTGAAAGTGTTCATTTTGAAAGTTTTCGTTTTGATCGATATAACCAGTTATTAAATACAGCTAATGCTAAGGATATTAACACAGACTATTATTTTACAAATAACACTTAGCTTCAAGGTATGCATCTGTAGCGTAGAGTTAGGGAAGGAGACCCGCAACGAAATAAGATGGTTCGAACCTGGACAGGGTCGGATGTTTTTAATAAACTTATTCGTATACTAGTTAAAATGCGTCTGCTCTTTAAATTGAGGCATGTTAGTTGGTAAATTTCATTTTTTTCACATTGACTGGTACTTCTACTAAGGCGTCATAATTGACTTGCGTTACTTAGCAATTATGTAAACTCAAAATTAGCGTTATCGGTTATATTTTTGCTTGTGTATGTGTCATATACCTAACCTCCGTATGTGTCATATACCTAACCTCCGAACCAACACGTTTCAGGGGAAAACATTTGAGAAACTCAAAGTATGATCTTCGAATTTGGCGTTTTACAAATACCTTAAGTGAAACTTTTCAGATGAATTTATTAAATCTATATATCTATTGTAAACACCAACAAATACTCTTGGTTGGTAAAACTTTGTTAATTCACTCGAGAGATATCCGCGAGAGCGACCAGCTTGATTTAAATAGAGCCTCAGCATTAACTTCTTTTCTCTAGTCCTTTGAACTTTTTGAGGAATACAGTCCTGCGAACAACGACATCCGATATATCTCTCGGGTACCTGACTTTCCTAGTCATTTGGAAAGTTATTTCCTGTATTAGGAGTACACAATAATAAAACTCAGCAATCTAAATAGAAACCTCATAGCACAATATTAGTCTGCCATGGTGATAGAAAGGACAGATGACTCAAAAAGCAGAAGACAGTGAAAGAAATCAAAAAGCAGACTGCCACGAATTTCAGAAGCTGTGGCACGAATTTCAGAAGTCAATTCAAAATGTGAATCTCCCACTACACTTTCTTCACGCTCAGGACAGTTGGTCTAGGCTAGTTAAAACGCTTTGAAATCCATGTGTGCAGTTAATTTATAAAGTTAAAGAAACACTTGGGAGAAACACTGATACACAACAACTATGTGAAGCTTAAAAATTGCTAGAAAGATAAATCGTACTCATAGGCAAACAAGGGCTACAACAACAGGCACAACAACAACGGCCGCGTCAAGTCAGCTAACAACAATAGGCACATCAGCAGTACACAGCTCTACAGCAATAGCTCATCTAGCTGCTTTGCCCTCAGTACCAATTCCACATTCTACAGTCTAATTAACTAAATGAGGTAGTTCATCACTCGAAATTTAGGTAGACTTTGAATCCTTATTTATAAGTTTAATAGACGTCACAGGAGAAGCTAGACCACACCAAAAAGGTTATCTTAAGCTTTACTGTAAATTTCAGCGCCACAGTTTTTTCACACTCTTGTAGCAGCAACCAAAGTTGGCGTAGATTTGAATTCACAGGCTTTGAAAAACCACTTCTGAATCCTAAATCGAGAGAACTACACCAACTGAAATTAGAAAGTTTAAAATTTAAGCCTAAAGAGGAACAACCAGAAGAGTTTTTATTCAAACTTCAAAATCTAACTTTACATGCTTTTTCCTGATCTAATACCTATAGCAGTAACACCGGCGGCAAGTACTGGTGCCGCTGAAATTGGCCCTGAAGTGGTAGAGAATCAAGCAAACAGAGATAGACAAAGATTTGCCGAGCAAGAAAGAACAGGATACGTGATGAGACTTTTTAAGAAAGGAATGCCAAACTACATAAGAGCTAAATTATTAGAAAAAGAATATTGTAAGACATTTGTTCAAGACTTTTGCACGATAACAAGACAACAGTTATATCTGAGAGAACTATGCCCAGTGGATGAGATGGCCCAATGGAGCAATCAAAGATCTGAGATGGGTTCAAAAGTTGATGCATTAACTAAGCAACGAAAAGAACAGAATGAGACTTTTAAAAATCAAATTAAACAGGTGTACATCAAGAAGTAATAGCGAAACAGACTCAAACCAAAACACCAGCAGAAACATTAGACGTGGAAATTACAGAGGAGGATATAGAGGACGAAATAAAGGCTACTACAAAAATTATACAGGTTTAAACCAATTCGAAAATTGGGGTAGTATTCAGCTCACACTATACTTTGGAATGAAAAATAACTTAAACAAAATTCTTTTTTGACTGCAATATGATCACCGAATCAGACATACGCAATCTCTCTTTTTACTTTCAACCAATAAGTCAAAGTGGGCGTTTGATTTTCAAATGATAGCATTTTCTTGTAAAGAAAATGCTAGCAACAAGGAAGTTTTACAATTTAAGGCAACATAAACATCAAATATATGCTACCACAAGCTACAAGGGATGAACGTTTGTGTGTTTACCACGCTCATTAACAGCTGCTTTCAACTCCATGTCCACACAATGTGAACATGAAATTACGGCTCATGGAATTGATTAAAGTCCGTACATCCACAACAAATAAGTTGAAAGTTTTTGTCATTTTTCTGATTCCTCAACTCAACCACTTCTGCGAAGCAGGCCAATCTTTCTTCCTCACTGCGAAAGTTCCAAACGAAAAAACCAATTGCCCAGGGCTGATTCACATACAGTTCTTCAGTTTCCTCAGTACTATTTACATTTCTCAATTCCTCAGACAGTGATCTATTGCATTTGCGAATCACTTAATTCTTCCAAGTCTGATCTTTCATTGAGACTAGCTCGTTAACGAATCTAAAAGCTGTCCTGGGCAACGGAACTGCTGCCTCATGAAAGGTGCCAGTGGTAACTCAACCGGTGTTCCTCTAATTTTATTGGTTCGGAGAGACGCGAAAAACTTGTAAATTCTTTCCTCGTGAAGACTTTGTGTCAGAAGAACAGTTCGAATTGCCGCGAGAGTAGATTGCTTATTACCAACAAAAAAGAAACGATTCAAGTATCTGACACGACTTCCCAGCACTAAAATTTGGGCAGCTTGCCACAGCGAATATTTGCCTTTTCACTGAATTAGCTGTAGGTAGCAATTTCGGCAACTCATCACCCATCAGTCGATGACAATTAGTTGCGACGTGATTACACAGTGGGAACTGAATGCGCCGAACTGAGTTGCTGTGATGAGGAAAAATGAATCCCAGAATTCTGGTTACGGATGTTCGCCGCCATTGCAGAAATAGGTTATCATTTAAAACTTCTTCGGTTACGCAATCGGGGCTAGGCGCACAAAAGAAGTGGACTTGGTTAGAATTTGAATTTTCAAAGTCAACAACGGTGATTGTTCCTTGCGTAATGTTGTCAAAATTCTGAGTGACACGTAATAAAGCTTTGTCATGAATTATAATTTTGTCAGGCTCTCTACACTCTCTATTGAGAAAGTCGGATGTCTTCCGGTCACAAGGACGCCAAATATGAGATCCTGCTATGCTAACTTCATCCACCGAATCCAAGACAAAGAAAGCTCTTCCAGAGTGCCGAATACTATCGAAGTGCATTTCAACGGCTTCGCGCTCTGCAGCTTTTTTCCCAAAAATTTTCCTTATAGATGGATCTCGCAATTCACTCCAATCGTCAACAAAATTGCAGTTCTCGGAAAACAACCGAACTATAGTTTCTACGTCTTCTGCAGGAATTGGTCTTTGCTCCATAAATCTTAACAACACTTGTCCGTTAGGGTCCTCCATTCGTACAAACTGCAGGAGGAAATTAATATTAAAACCGAACATGACCGACGTTGAGGTGAATACATAAGTGCCAGACACGTTCGGCAACTGACTACTATCTCCATTAGCTAGAATGTAAACGCCACCAAACTCCTCGTCATTGTCCTTCAACCTTTTAAGTATTAAATTAACAGCTGACAAAATTTCTGCGTTCAGCAGGCTCATTTCCTCAATCAACATAAACTGCAGTCGCTCCAAAAAGTTCTTCCTTTTCAAATCTAGGGACAAATTGACGAGCGCCTTCTGGGCTAGATCTTTGGCCGGGAAAGAGGCACAGGGAACACGGAATAGTCTGTGAATATGCTCGACTCCTAGTTGTTGGGAGCGTCGGGCAGCCAAACTAGTGATCATGCATTTGAAGCCGTTGAACAACGCATGACAACACCACTCTGGAGAGAACTTTTACCGGAACCAGGTGGACCAAGCATCAGGTCGATTTCAGCCAGCCGACTGTCACTTACAGCCATCGATTTTGCACGTACCGATGCGCAAAGGTGATTTAACAGAAGCCGCTGCTCGTTCTTTGATGCTTCTGTTTGGTTTTCCGCAAAATTAACCTGTGGTAGTCATTCAGCACTGAGAAGTTGTGCGTCGATGTTCGTCGGACAGTTGTCAAGCTGCAACAATTAGGATTGATTCAGCATCCTGTGCTGAGTTTCATCTACAAAGGCTGATACTTCTGATTGCATTTCCTGATGCATTCTACCAATCAGCACAGTAGGTGTTGGCAATGCGTCTTTACCTAGTAATTCCAGAAGCTGCGCAAA